TACTATGCCTAAAGTACACTTAAAACGTCCATATTAGGTCCATGGACGTTTGGACTAAATAAGAACAAAAAATTGACGTCCATTGGACGTCGTGTGCCGTCTGTGTTAATTGTTCTTTCCCTTTCTTTCCCTCAGGTGGAAATAGTTGATGAAAAGGAGTATAGTAAAGCAGCAGCCAGCCAACAAGATTGCTAGATGGAGAACAATATATATTTACATCGTCAATATATATTACACCATCACAGAGCAGTGTCGACTACAGATCCGCTTCAATTTGAAAACCAAGACAGTAGAGATCAGAACAATACCAGAGACCGCCAGACTCGGGCGATCGGCACACTGGACAAGAGGAGTGGAATGATGCACCATATGAGTATATTTAAAATTATATTATTAAATTATAAATGCAGAACATAAGTTCACCATCGATGACGAAAGCACGAATAGTTCTAGCCAACAAGAATACACATTCTCGGGTCCTATAAAAACACCAAACTAGCCCAGAGCAATTGCCATGTAATATTGTGTTATATTATACATATAGGCAACAGCAACCTATGTGGCGATCCGAAAACTAACGTTTTCGTTTGGTTTTGAACCCGGATCTCCGGATTACAAGACCAAAGGCACAATCCTCTGTGCCACCAGATCGCCGCTTACACGTACTTGTAAATATGTATATTAACCTTGTGGATATAGTCATTTAATATGTACGTCAGTGAGGCTGCGCAGAAGTTTGCTCAATGCGCGTGCGCGGAAAATCCTTCCAATCTCCCATCACTGCCCCCCTCCAGTCCGTCGCGACGAGCGCTGCCGTTGCTCTGCGGCTGTGCGACGTGCGTACGCTGGACGCGACTCGGCGGGGGAGAGAGTGAGAAGGAGTTAGCAGCGGAGTGGAGCGGAGAGCCAAGTCGCGGAGGACCCGCGCGGAGTCGGGCGGCGAGTATCGTCGTGTCGTTCTCGGCGAGAGCAGCGTTCCCGTCAACGGTTATCCTACCTCGCGCTCCGCACTCCGGGTTCGGCACGCGGGAGAGGAGTATCGTCGGCGGCTCGCCCTGTACGCGCCACGAGCTACTACTCGCGTACCACGAGTTCGCGATCGAGGGAGGCCGCGGCGGCGGAGATGCCGGATGCGCTTTGAACGCGCGTACACCGTGGTCGTCGCTGTCCTCGCCGCCGCAACCGCAACCGCAGCAGCAGCAGCAGCAGCCGCCGCCGCCGCCGCCGCTTCCTGAGGCACGTCGTCCCCGAAAGAGAGAGAGAGAGAGGGAGAGAGGGAGATCCCCGGACGCGAATGCGCGCTGCTCCCCGCGGCGCCGTCCTCGCGCGAGTCTCTCTTTCACCCGGAGGCGCCGCTATGCTGACGCCGCAGCATCCAACGTGAGTAACCTGTCTCCGTCTCCCGGGGGGAACCGCGGAGAGGCACCTTGCGCCCGCGACGCCGCGCGTATCCCGTGTCGCGTGTCGCAATCGCACGCGCCTCGTCCACGCGCGCGCGTTTCTATTCCTTCTTTCCGGAGAACGGCGTTACGGAGAGCGCTCTTCCGCTGTCTCCTCTTTTCTCCCTCCCCCCCTCCCTCCCTCCCTTCCCTCCTTCTCTTTTTCTGGAGCGAAATATCGCTTAGTTAGCGGCGGTCGCTCCACTTTTTGCCCGTCTTCGCGTTATCCGCCGCCACGGATCTCACGATCGCTCGCGCTCGCGCTTCATTTATTATTTCTATCGCCAGCCGCGGCGTCTTCTTCAAAAGTCGCGATCGGCGCGACGGTCGTGCGACACTTTTGTCCGTCGGCCGATCAGCTGTTGCCTGTTGTCGAATATTGATTCTCGCTCGCCGCGCGAGGCCCTGAATTAATCATTCGAGGCTCGAGGCGCACCGGAGATGCCCCGGCGTCCCCGTACTAGACGATCCTAAAAGGATATTCGAACGAGTCTTCTTTGCGTCTCCGAATTATTCGAAGGAGGGGGACAGGGAGGGGGAGTCAGCCGTTGGCCTCTCGAGCGTTTTCGAAGCGACACGTCGCCGTGACGCGCCGCGTGTGTCCGAGGGGAAAAAAAAGAAATACGCGTCGAAAGCGGGAGGCCTGCCTGCAGTGCCTGCTGTGCGAAGGGAGAAAAAATAAGAGAGAGCGAGAGAGAGAGAATTTAGCGCACGCACGACACGCATGCCGTGTCGAAGCAACGTAAATTTATCATGCGAATTTTTATTTCCGCTTTATTCCACACGCGGAAGCCCGCGCGCGGCCCCGAAGCGGCATATTTATCAAGGCAGAGCCGCTATCAATCGCTCTTAATTGAACGGCGCGGCGCGAAACGTCGATCGTCCGCGATTCAATTTCGGCGCTCGCGACGCGACGCTCTTCGCACGCGCGACAGGAAGCGCGCATTAATTACAGGCCGGTGTAGCGGAACGCAGGCCGCTCCAGCCCCAAAGCTAGCGCCGCACTTTGCCGCGCGATTCACGATTCGTATATATTCGTGTACGGTGTGGAGGACAAATTTGTCGATTCGCCGTGCGCACACCCTCAGAAAGGATTTCTGTTACCCAGACAAAAATATGGCAGTGTGGCGCTGGCTTAATATGCATTTGTCGTACGACAAATTTTTGCAAGCGTGTTGACTGGCTGCGGAATAGAAAATCTCTAGAGACTCGACGACTTTTCTATTCTGCGGCCAACCAGCGCACGTGGAAAAATTTGTCGCGCGACAAATGTAAACCAGCCTTAAAGCCTATCACACAGTGCCAGGCAACAGGAATAGGGAATAGAATTTTTGACGCGTTGGATTCGTCGGAAAATTTCTTCCAACCAATCCAACGCGTCAGAAATTCTATTCCCTGTTTCTGTCGTCTGTTGCCTGGCATTGTTTGGGCCTTAACCCTCGAGCCGTGCAATTTTGCATATGCACTTCTCCCTTGCGAAGCTGGAACTGAAAACGCGCGGCTTTGCACACAAAGGGCGAAGTTAGGCTCCTAATCCCCGGGGGATTAGCGACCAAGGGCCGTTTTCAGGCCCTTCGCACATGTGTTCGGTTCGAACGAGCAAGAAGACTCTTTCGAACATTCTTTTAGGATCCACCAGCGGTCGTTATTTAAGGGAAAAATTCTCGCTACACGAAGGGCCGCTTAGGGGATTGCGCGCTCGCCTCGCGAGAATTTTTAATACAATACCGCGTCGCATTACCGTAATTTAATTTAATGCGACGCGGTGTCTCGCTTCGCGCGACTCGCTGTCTGTCGCGACTTATCTCCGAACACTTCAGATTTTAATTCCGGCAAGCCGAGTTCCCTCGCGGGCCCCGGGGAATCCGCTCGTGTTCGTTTCTGCAAAAAGGTTTTCGTCTCGAGTGGCCTCGTGTCCGCGTCTACGGGGGCCGTAATTGGAATGCCATCGTCCGTCAATCGCGCGCGATAAGAATGCGCGCGTAGATCGACCTTGGGTGACGCGTCCCCCTCGACGATCTCTCGTCGCCGCGGACGCCTGCCCCGTCTCGGCATCCCGTGCCGCTCGAATATTCATACCGTTCAGCGGTACGACTCGGGTTAATTGAACGATTAGACGCCGCCTTCCCGGCGTCTCGCCCCGTCCCGTCATCGTCGTCCCGACGGCATCGGCGTCGGCGTCGGCGCGACCGGTCGATCGCTCTGCGGTAGATCGGCCGGTTTCCCGATCAGGGGACACGGTATAGTGTCTCGCGCCGAGCAAAGTTAACACGCGGATGTCCGCGTCCGCGCGCGCGACACACGCTTGCTCGGTCTATCGATTTTCGCGTTTTACCGCAGGTCGTAAACATCGAGTTAACGTTAAGCGAGTTAGCGATTCCGTGCCTCTCCCTGGACACCGAGAGAGAGAGAGAGAGAGAGAGAGAGAGTGAGGGGGGGGAGGAAAGGGGAGATCTCGGATCTTCTCTCCGTCGACGCAGCTGAAGACGAGGAACGAGCGAAGTCTAAATAAACGAGGAATATTATTTTGCCGATATTCCACGTGATGCTGCAGAAATTTTTTTTCTTTTTTTTTTGCGAAACTTCAAAGAGACCGAAGGCCGAACGAGACCTTCACATTTCTACCGTTCGAGCCTATCGGTCCGCCCACAGCGATCGCAATTGAACCGTGAGCGGGTAAACTCGCTTGAAAATCTCGAGTTTCACTTTGATCAATAGTGTCGCGTGCTGCACGCCGCGGTAAGTCCCGCGCGATTGCTGTCGCACGCACCCGGCACGAACTTCCCGTCGTCGATTCGCGATATGGATATCGGGGCCCGGGTACGTTTACTTTAGATTAGCTGCATTTTGATAGGTCCCACGCTATGAGCCCCGATAAAGCTACTTCCCTTTCGGTGAGGCGTCTACGTCCCTCGCTCTTTAGCTCGCGTGGTTCATTTGTTATCGGCGAACGCACGATAATGGACAGCGTTGTATTCTGACATTACCCCGCCCCGCCTTTCCTTAACTCTTATAATCTACTTTTAATATTTCGTTCGTACGTTAAAAAATTATTTAGACACACACGGAACGTGACGGGGAGTCTCGAGAGGAATTTTCGAGCGCTAATTTCGGAAGATTAAGCCGTCGTCTCTATCTAATTCCTTTTTAACGAGTATGGATCTTTAAATATCCGCCCCGGGGCGTCATTCCGGTATTTTCAGAATTGAATTTAATCCGTCAATTAGCCCCCAATTAAGGTTCGAGCGGAATTTTGCGCTCGCTGTTGATTAGGCACAATCGCAAACTATTGCTCCGGGGGAAAAGAAAGACAGTCAGCAACCAATTTTGGGGCCCACAATTAGTAATCGAATTATTTGAATTGTTCGCGACTCTAATCTTTTACGAATTTCACCTCACGTAACTAAAAATCGCAACTAGCTATTCTCTATCTGTATCCAAGATTTTTAAGTAGCACTAATCAATTCTCTCAATTGGTTCTGTCGATATTCAGTAACGCGAAGATAATTTTCACTCAAGAGGCACTAACCGAAATGTTAAGTTGCTTAACTACCAAAAAAACTGTCAAAATTTTTCCCAAAGTGGAGTTACGAACAATTCAGATAATTCGATTACTAATTGTGGGCCTCAAAATGGGTTGCCAACTGTCCTTTTTTTCCCAGAGTGGGACGGGCCTCGAGTAACGTTGAGGAAAGTATGATCTCACGATTTCAGAGACGCACAATTTCGTTTTGCCACGTAACAGCATCTCGCGGCTAAAACGACCGGCATCGAACGGACCAACTCTCTTTCCAAATCAAGCTAACAATTTTGTGCGCGACAAGAGCGTGAATTTTTTTATTCCGGTCAAAATCTAGTTTAAATTACCACAGTCTTTTTGCTGGCGTCATAAGAATGTTTGCTAAGGTAACTTGTTGCATTTAACTACTCCGGTAAGATTGAAATGCACACGGAGAGCATTTTCTCTGAAAATTTAGCCTGAAACTCGTGTAATCGTGTGACAACATGGCCTTTCGGAAAACTCTCGTAAAGGTCTTCAAAATGCCATGTTGTCCCGCGATTGCGTGATTGTCCGGGTAAATTTCAAGAGAAAATTCTCGGATAAATTTCAAGAGGAAGTTCTCTCCTTGCATCATTTCCTTAGCGTTATTTATTTTCCGAGGCCTAATCTACAACGGTAATCTAATCTTACGACGATAAGAACTGGAATTCACCACGGTTTTTCCAACCCCTGGATTTTTCCAGCCAACCCCGACTCGCATACACGTACATGGGCGGGCATCGGTGATTCCTAGTGCACAATATTTTGTTGGCAAATTTTTCAAGCGCTTTCATTTGCTTATACAGAATGTTTTCAGACGCAAAGAGCACGTTGTAGATGAGGCTTAAGGCACAGACCGCGCGTTGTTCCCTCGAGCTTCGTTCAGCCTCTCAAAACGCCGACAGCGGCCGACGATTCTCGCCTATCGAAATTAATCTCATTCCACTGTTGAAACGGTCAATTGAACAGTCGTAAAAAAATCAGACCGAGCCGTGTGCGTCGACCGGGAGAAGCTCGTGGTCGTCGAGCTCTCGTTAAGTGTCCGTCGCAAAAAATTGAACTCGCGCCCGATAACGCAAAGTGCACGCTTCGTGCCGCGCTAAAGATGACTTCACCCTTTAACAGGGTGAGGAGGAGGGACCTTGGCATTAGCCTCTAATCGGGCGCGAAACGCGCATTATCCTGGCGGCCGCGCGCGTCTCGCTTTATCAGCGCGCGCCGCGGATAGCGACGGTCACGTGCGACGTGCGAGCCGCGCGCGGAAAACCGCTAGGCTGTAAACAACGAGGCGCATTTCCCAGTTATATACGTGCGCGCGTACGTGCCGATTACGGTACGGGGCCCGTCATTGTTACGCTTTGTGCATTTGCGATCCGTTAAAAATGGCTGCGGTGCCTCGC